ATCAGAAGCAAATCACAACACGACACGTGTCAATGTCATGAAACTAGAAACTCTATTCTATAAATAGAGATCATTCTCTCACAATATTTCCTAATTTCATTTGTATTAAAACATTCACTTGTACTCACTAAAGGAGAGCTTGAACCTATGTACTTGTGTAAACCCTTCACAATTAATGAGAACTCTTCTATTCCGTGGACGTAGCCAGTCTGGGTGAACCACGTACATCTTGTGTTTGATTCCCTGTCTCTATCCATTTACATACTTATCCACACTAGTGACCGAAGTAATCTAACGAAGGTCACAAACTTAACACTTTCTGTTGTACCAAAATCTTCACTGATTTTATGCATTAACGTACTGTATAATTGAAACACTGTAACGTAGCGTACGCTTGCTAATATTAAATACTCAAACATTCTAGGCTGTCAATCAACATGAACGTTAATAGAGTGATGAGTACAAATAGATTGGATCACAACGTCATTTGCTTTTATGAAGTATGCGAGGGAGATTAAATTTTTATACTAAATTTGTAAATCAAATTAATAAAAAACAAGCATGTTAATTATACATTTAGTTAATAATTTAATTATTGACAATTACATCATTAAGTTTGTAAATTTGACTTAAAAATTTAGACTTAATTGGATTAATAGTCCTCATGGTAATAGGGTAGTTGGAAGATTGCTCTTGTGGTAAAAAAAAAACTAGCATTTAAGCTTATGTGATAAAGTCTGTTAGAATTTATGCCCAAAATTAAAATTTCCGTCAATTTTATGTTAATTATTAGCACATGAGCCAATCCCAAGTGTTAACAATTAACGGAGAGGTTTGTTGTAGCATAATATGTGTAGGGAGAGTTCTGTTTTAGTCTAATATTTGATGCTCACGTGATAATAATTAACAGAAATTTTAATTTTAGGCATAAATCCTAACAGACTTTATCACATGAGCTTAAATCCTAGTTTTATTCACCACATGAGCTATTTTCCAACTATCCTATCACTACGGTACGGTGGCTATTAATTAAAACAGGCAAAAAATTTAGTCTCTTTAACATTATCCAATAAAAGACTTGGTAAATTTAACAAAATAAAAATAAAAAAACTTGTTAAACAATTGAGATAAATAAAAAGGACCACAAATTAATCCAAGGCTGACGTAATTCCCTAGCTCTTAAAAAAATCAAAACACATCTCCACCATCACACACTCCATCGCCCACCACGTGTGAACGTGACACGTCCTCGAATCCCACGCCAAACCAGTTGGTGAGCCGACTCTGAAAGCCGACTCACCGAAACGGCGCCGACAATGAGAGAGTGAGAGAAACAAAACAAAAGCGTAGTTCGCGGCTTTCGAGAACCGACGAAGTCCCAGTCAGCTTCTGCGGCTCCCACGCATGCACGTCGCCACATCACGCAAATCCGCGCGGCACGTGTTGCGAGAACCACGACGTCCGTCATCGCCACGCGACCGACTCACCACCGCCTTCTGCAGTCTTTTATTAAAGCGATCGGATCTTCCGACGGAAGGAGTCGATGTGTTCACAAGCCGAAGGTGACACGTTTAAGTTTTCAACGTTGCCGTTTTATATGTTTTCTTTTTGGCGTGGATTTCACGATGTTACGGGTGGCGGGATCCACGAGCCAAATAAATATCTGCATGATCTGTTTTTTTGTTATTTTTAGTAAATATTTAGGAATATATAATTTGGTCGATGCAGGTCTTTCCATGTCATGGATGAGGCCACAGCAAGGAGAAGCTGCCCCACACCACCTATTGAAAGAAAGAATTCGAAATTTGAAAGAGGAAATATAATCTCTCTACATCAACTTGCGGTTTTAAATTTGAATTGACATTAGGGTAAGTTATTAAGTTGTCTCATTTTGAATGAGTCAATAGAAATATGTTTCCGTAAATACCATCCTTGTCAAAACGAAAAAAAAAGGTGGACAAGTGAAAATAGAAAATGGATGTGTTTCTTTTATTGGGAAACTTGTTTGTTCCTTGACTACGATTAACGAACTTTTATCGGTCCTACATTGTAATCGAAAGTGTTTATTCATTTTATTATCATTTAAAGATCAAATTTGTAAAACAACTATTCAATTTTGGAAATTGTTTAGTCGTTTATTTGTATCAAACCGATTAACAGTTTTGATAACAAGTAACATTTTCATGGTTAAGCATATGATTTTATGCATATAAATGACTAAAAGATCCTGAGTTTGAGTAATTTTTTTGCATATATGATCTTTAAATGATGAAAAACAAATAAACGTTTCAATTATGATGTTCAGACAATAAAGTCGGGTCCAGAAGTTGGAATTTCCATCCATAATCTTGTTAGTCTAGCGGAATAATTAAATAAAGGGAAAATTAGGTTCATATCATTCTTTTTGTTACTCCATTGATTAAAATCCTATTCATTTTTAATTTTTTATCAAAGTCCTTGGGTATTAATAACATCATTAATTATTTGAATAATAAAATATTTTTTATTTTTAAATATATTCCTTTAGTGTTAAAAATGTTACAATTAGTATATTTATATTTATGGCTAAATTTTTTTATCATATATATTTTTTTAGTTTGTACCTATTTTTAATTTGCAAATATTTTTTAATTTGTACCAATTTTCTTTTCATTTTTAATTTGTACCCATATATTAGTTTCTTTTTGTGCCCATATTTTTTAAAGTTTTATTTGTGTTTGTACCCATGTGTATACCGTCACATGACATTGTATATTTAATCAATGATAGAAAAATTACATATGGTATATTTATGTTTTATGCCTAAACTTTGTATCATATATTTATATTTTTAGTTTGTACTCACTTTTAGTTTGCAACATTTTTTAAAAAAATTTGTAGTATTTTCTTTTTAGTTTTATTTTGTACCCATGTATTAATTTTTTTTAGCGCCTATATTTTTTTAAAATTCATTTGTACTCTTAATTTTTAATCTTTTATCTGTACCCTAATTTATTTATAATATACTCATTCTTCTTTATTAATGTACCACTTTGTTATATGTGAAATGTACCAATTTTTTTGTAAAATGTTCCAATTTTTTTAACACTATGGATACATTCTTTTACCATTTATTATTTCTTATTTTTACATAGTTTTTATCCATTTATTCAATCAAAATGTTTGAATTTTTTTTATTGTAACCGTTTATAATAGTATTATAATTAGGGATTTTAAATTTATAGGATTATAAATCTCATAAAATATCAAACAATTAATGTCAAAACTATAAAAATAAAAATATTAATAGTAATATAATGAGATGTACAAAGTCAAGAGACCTTGATCAAACTTTGAATACCATTAAAGTTTTAATAAAAAAATGTTAAGGATTAGGGACCGCATCCAAAATATCCCTTACATAAAACATCAAACTGAAATGAGACTTCAAAGTTTAAATAATCAGGTTTCCATGCAAGCAATTTCCGAACGGATAGAGTCTGCTGCTGTATATATCAAGGTAGCAAATAATGAAAGGGAGTATTAACGAAAAACTCACAGTACTGTTCACTTTAACGAAAAATCATATTTTTACACTAAAAATTCAAACCTAATATTATTCACTTTATCCTTTATTTTATTCTTATCATTAAAATTCAAAATTTTTAAATTTTTTTTCATTAATTTTTCTATAAAAAGCTCAAACAGTAGTACTGGCAAATATACAGTGCGCCGATGTAACACTCTGGCAGCAGATACTGGAATTGACAGGTTTGTACCACCGAAGTCACATGCTTCAACGACTATTGTATCTGTGAATTATGATGGTCCTGTCCTGAAGGAAGAGGAGGACCACACGTACTTGTTGCATGGCACTGCATCTGCACTGCATGGACCCGTTTCTTCATCGTTTGCTTCATCCCAAAGCATCTCAAAACCCTACTTCTTCTTCTAGATCTTCTTCCACTTGCAACCACCCAACCACATCTGCAATTCCACATCATATATACGTACCCTTGAATAGATAATAGTAAGATGCGGGAGCTACACCTAAACAAAATCAAGGGTCTCGACGTTGCCATGTGGCACTAGTTTTAGCCTCTGTATTATAAAAGGTGCAATGATCGATGGATCAGTGCAATTTGCAAGTCAAAATACACAGTTTGCATGCAGAACCAAGCATCGAATGATATATAGTGGAACCAATTTGCTGTTCATTGTACCATATTACTAGTAACTTTGTTTACGAACGTCTCACATGAAATAAAAAGGTCAAAATCACGGTATTTTAAATTAAAAATTCAAAATAAAAATAGAAAATTTTAACAAAAAACTCATGATATTGTTTACTTTAACGAAAAATCACATTTTTACACTAAAAAGTCAATCATATTACTATTCACTCTACCATTTATTTTGTCTTTATCGTTAAAATTCAAAGTTTTCAAGTCATTTTCATTAGTTTTCCTATAACAATAACGGTTATTACACTTCTTACACCTTCACGGCCACCTCCGCATTAAGGTAAATACGCTGCAATCTTAGAGCATCTTCAAAGGAGATATCAAAACTGCACTACTACAATATTAGCTTGAGGTGTCGGATGATGGTGGCGGTTTAATAAGTCATTATGTTGGATGTCGGATAAAAGATATCCGACACATCATTCAGTTAGTGTCGGATAACAATGAAATCCTGTCGGTTATTTCCAACATAAATTTCTGGCGATTATTTAGTGTCGGATGCAAACGCCATAAAATTTGAATTTTTTTTTATAAATATTTTTAACATATTATGGCAGTTTCTAAGTTAATGGTGGCGGTTATAACCGATAGAAATTGACTATTTTATTATTTTAGTTTCTGGCGGTTATTATTTTAGTATTCTGACGGTTATAACCGATAGAAATTGACTATTTTATTATTTTTACGCCAAAAGTGCCCCTATGTGAGAGAAACCCTAGCAAGTTAGTATATAAGCTGAGTTATCAGCTTCCCTTTTCTCATTGTTGCCATTCCTCATGCGCCGTTTACCCCATCTCTTTGCACTTTCTCTTGCAATTTCTTCCATTCCTCTTGCTTTCAGAAAAACCTTACTTGCCTGCAATCAAAACCAAAGCTTATCCATCCAATCTGAAATCATCCATTAGTTCTCTCAGGTTTCGTATTGCAGCTCCATATTCTGAAACCTGCAAATCTCAACATATATCTGCCTTCATTTCTTCACAGACCCAAGCCCAACTCACCTATTTCAGCTGTCTCGGTTTGCCGACGCACAAAGGTAAGATGCATCGTTTAATACCCTGAAAATTTTAAATATATGAATATGTGGAGAAAATAAAAAATAAATCGATTTATGATTATGAAGAATTAAATCGAGAATATTATTGAGCTTTTATATGATTTTTCAAGAATTTATAATAATTTGTGTAAGTTTAGTTTTAAATTAAACTAGTTACGAGGTTTAAAGTTTGGACCTTAATTATTTAAAATACGTAGACCTTTCGAGGTCAAAAATTATATTTTTGAATAGAGCTCGACCTTACGAACGCGTAGGTGCAAACCGTTCGTAAAACGGAGTTAGAATGAAGAAGTTATTAACGTTTAAAGTTGGGGGCATTTTAGTAAAATAGTTGAGTTCAAGATAACTCCAGATTTTTGAAGAAAAATCTGGAAGGCCACGTGTGTGGCCGAGATTTAAAGACAGAAAAGATGGGCAGTGGAGATGGATTATAGAGAGAAAGGAAGGAGGAGAAAATGAGGAGAGAGGAGGATGACCAATGGGTGAAGAGAGAAAGGAGGGAAAGGAGAGAATGAGAATGGAGAGGAACCTGCCGGGTTTCCTTGTCCCGCGGACCCGGTTGCAACCCATAGGGTTCTCCGATGAAATTCATCCTTTTTCCGATGGATTGGGCCGATATAACCCTCTAAATCATCATATATACCTTCCCTCTACCATCTCCATAGCAAATTTGAGACGATTGGGTTCAGAATTTTGGAAGAAAGGAACTCGTGGGTATCGTATGACCCGTGGTCGAAATCCAGCAAATCAGAAACGGTTTCATTAAATTAACACCACCATTAGACTCTCCATGAACCAAGAAACAAATCTCATTCATTGGTTGGGTCGTCGGAGTTGCTATGGAGTCGAATTGAGGACACCCAAATTCTAAGGTTCCGACAGGTTTTGATGAAATTGGAGCCTTTCCAGGAAACATTGGCCTTGGTTGCAGGTATGAAAGTTTCTCTACTCATTGAGATCTTCATTTCTGTAATTTTTGAGAATTTTTAAAAATAATTGAATTTTTTCGGCGAACCGGGGTGGCCGACCGCCACCTGCGGCGGCTGGTGCGGTGGCGCACGGCCAGGGAACCGACAAGTGTGTTTTATGCGAATTTCTTTATTCTAATTATGTTTTTGAGATCAAATTGTTGTGGTTTGAATATTAATACGATTTTGGTATATGCTAGATTAAAGGAATATTTTCGGATTTGGTTTAAATTTTGAAGTTTTGAACTACGGAAGGCTTGATCCCTGTTGAGGGTAGGTAGACAGTCTAACGAGAAGTTAGAGCAAGTCCACCCCTAAGGACTTTGTGCCAGCACCCAGCTCATTTATCTACTCAAGTGAACAGTAATATACTTTAGTGAACAGTAATAGGCCAATGCATCTCCACCCCTAAAAATGTGCTGGCACCTAGTCCATCTAATATTATATTATTTTATTCATATCAATTATTATTTTATTCATATCAATTAATATTTTATCATCTAATATTAATATTTTAATATTTTATCACTCCCACCCTTCTCTTCTCTATTTTCTCAGCATACAAACACAGAAAAAAATGGGGCCGTACTGATCGTCGCCGGCCGTGGCGGTTCTCCTCCTCATGATCTTCATTGTCTCATCGGCCCTCGACATGTCCATCATCTCATACGATAACAACCTCGGAGACAGCAAGTCCATAGGTAGCTGGAGGACCGACGATGAGGTGATGTTGATTTACGAGGGGTGGCTGGCGGAGCATGGCAAGGCATACAACGCCCTGGGAGAGAAGGAGCGGTAGTTCCAGATCTTTAAAGACAACCTCAGGTATATCGACGAACAGAACTCCAAGAACCTCAAGGATCAGGAGGCGTCGGAGGCGCGACGGAGAGTGATGGAGGTGGAGATTGCGGTGAGGCGGTGTAGGTGGAGATTGCAGAAAAAAAATTAAAAAAGCCCACGACGTCACGCTGGCGTCATACGGGCCGGCTCACGCCTCTGTCGATTTTAGGCTGGCCTGGAGACTAGCTTGGGCTGGGTGCCGGTCAAAATGCTGGGCTGGAGTGGTTTCACTGGGTGCCGGGCTAGTATTTTGGCTGGGTGCTGGCCTTTCTCACCCCCGGTGGACTTGCTCTTAGATGCAGCCATAAAATAAATGTGTTTAAATATTCGAGAATTAGTATATAGATGGAAATTGATCCAAGAGAAGAAAAATCAATTAGCTATGTTCTAGGTTGGGCCTACCATAATTATTTTTCGAAATATACAAATATTTCAGAGCAGGGGCGTTACACATCGATCTCGTTTCCTTATTAATTTCTTAATTCTAGCACAAATGCAATAGTGAAATCCGAGCCTAGTATGTGAGCTTATGTTGTAGACAACGACCAGAGATGATGGCGAACACAAGGAACGATAGCAATGTCAAACTTTAGATCTGCAAGAAAAATGAGCAGCGGCAACCACGATGTCCACAAATCTCATAAATATATGTATAAATGCTCAACCCAGAATGAGCATGGTCTCTGCATCCATATATCTGATAGTCTCCATTACGCTCATGTATTTTGAGGAAGATGAAGTTGTTTGTGAGTAGCAAGTCTGGGATGAGGTGCAAGTTTTTTGAGGAAGATGAAGTTGTCAACAAATGTTTGTTGTTTCTTTTACTTTATTTTTCAGATTTGGTTTGGCCTGGTGTAAACATTCAAGTAAATTCAATGTATTCAAGTAAATTTAAAATAATAATGGATGAAGAATGGATTTGTCAATTTAAATTTAAGTTTGTTTCATGGTTAGAATGGTTTCTGTTCGTAATTCATGTGCATATTTTTTTCAATTTTTTTTTTAACATTAGCATTGAGCAATGTTTCAAAATGGTGCCCTGACAATTAAAAAAGTTGTCAGACCTATCAGCATATTAATGTTGTATGTAACCGACACGAGATACCCTAGCGGATTAAGCCTTTCTCTTGGCGGATTAAGACTTTTTCAAACGCACGCAGGCATGTCGCTTCACTTTTCCGCCACTACAACCATTTCATGTCGGATTTTACCTAATATCCGACATTAATAACTTTTTCTTGTCGTTTTTATTTGTGCCAATAATGGGTAGTTTTGTAGTAGTGTTGTCACGTAGACATATAATAGTACAAAATGATAGCAAACTCTCTCCAACCAAGCCTTCAATTTTTTACATGGCGCTAAGTCAATTGAAGGCAAAGTCTTTTGCTATCAAAATTGACAGCAGATGTCAAATTTATTAAATAATTTTTTAATAGATAAATATAATATATAATAATGTTGTTATGTTTTTCAAGTATTTGATTTGTTCCTCAATCATTGTACCCCCACAAAAAGATAAAAATAATTTATTAATTACCAATATTATTTAACATATCGGGTGAGGCAAAATATTGTACAAAATATCAAATGTCACATAAGCCATCAAATATCATTTTGATGTTTAAAATTTGACACATCATTTGAAGATGCTCTTAGCTTCAAGTATTACCCGGCCGTTTTTTATTTTTGGTCAATAATTACCCGGCCGGCTCTTAGCAAACCTAACTATTTTACCTTTCTGGCGGAAAATAGTTGAAAGATTATTAAACTAATGTTGCTTAAAGTTATCAATTACCAATGAGGTTCCTTTGTTTTCCGTTCCTCTCTCTTTATCCCCGGGAGAAGACAAATTCCTTAAATTTAACTTTGGATGAAGAATTACAAGGGAAGTAAATTAACAGGTCTCAAAAGGTAAGTTAGGGAGACAAAATTTGTAAATAAAATTTTAAAAATTAAATGACAAAAAAGTTGATGATTGATTTATTTTTTATGTGTTGATATACATTTTCATTATTATTAATGACACATAATTGAGTTTACAATTTTAATCTTTCTGACATTACCCAACCTCAAACCGACACACCTGCTTAAACAATTGGAGAATTAAAGCGTCACTTTGACAAATTCCAGGTGAAGGTAATATATGGGTCCCTTTACCCTATAGCTTCATCCATATGATCCTTTTACTTGAAACAAACTTACGCGCGTCATGCGTCAACCTTTCATTTTCCAGGGAAATTGGGGAAAGGCGGATCTTTTTCCTAGGGATCTTAGGGATCCCGTGATCTCATCCATTCATCGTATATTATGCAGTTGGAAATCATTTTAAAATTTAAAATATAAATATAAATATAAATAGTACTTAAGGAAAACTAATGAAAAATGTTTGAAAACTTTGAGTTTTAATGATAAAGACAAAATAAAGGGTAAAGTGAATAGTACCAGGATTGACTTTTTAGTGTAAAAATGTGGTTTTTCGTTAAAGTGAACAGTACCGGGTGTTTTTCGTTAAAGTTCCCTAGTACTTAATGAAAACTGACGCATGATATACGATGAATGAGTGAGATTACAAGATCTCTAAGATCCTTAACAAAAGAATTCGACGATGATCATTTTCCAGAAAGTTCTGTCTTATCAAGGAGCTGAGCAGGTTTGGTAACCTAGCTTGTAGTTGACGTATTCACAAAGTCTAAAATTAATGGCCAAGACTTTTTAGAATGCAATTTGAAAGAGGCATTTTGCTTTTTTCGTTTTTTTTATAGAAAAACTAATGAAAATAATTTAAAATTTTTGAATTTTAACAATAATGACAAAATAAAGGGTAAAATGAATAGTATTAGGATTGACTTTTTAGTGTAAAAATGTGATTTTTCGTTAAAGTGAACAGTACCTGGAGCTTTTCATTAATTTTTTTTTTCTCTTTGAGAAAATGGATTTTCCAAAAACCATCTGAATTTTAGTAAAATAATTGGCAAATTAACCATGAGTTACATTGTGTATTAATTTTAATTATATCCAAGCCTTTTTGTATAAACCTCTTATATATATATGTCAAGATGTGCAGTAAACCAACAACAAATGTAAAATAAAATCTTAAGTTGCACCATATCAAGATGCTTACCTAAACTACAATTTTGCTCATGCACAGCTAAATCAATTTTTCAAAGCACATTTTTGAATTGTTCGAAATTTGAGTGGCCAACATGCAATTGTTGTAACTAAAAATTTGGCAATATTATGGAGCCATTCAAGATGATGACAGTTATGATGGTGTTGAAGATAATGGCAATATGTCGTAATTTTGTACAACTTTCAATCCTAATTGATAGTCTACATGGCACACATTTTTAATAGGTGAACCGAAATTGAGAATAAGTTGCATGTGGACTTCACCCAACATTACATAATGTAAATGGACCAGAATCAATAAGTCCTTAATATAGAAGTTAAGAGACAATATTGAATAATCAGTAATTGGCCAACTCTCTCTCTAAAATTTCAACATGATGTTTTCTCAAAAAAAAAAAAATGAAAAAAAAATCTCAAAGTGATGTGTTAAAGTGAATTCTTTAAGGCTAATTATATTAACACCCCACAAATTGTTGAATAAACCCCACAAACTTAATACACCCCACATTTGTTTTTTCACTTAAAAATTATCTTAATACACCCCACTTACTTTCCCATAATACCCCACACCCCACATTCTCAATATACATCTTATATTTTGTACATACACCCCACATTTTCTTTACACCCCACATTTCTCAAATCTTATAACACTCATTTTTAATTTTCAAGGATTGAATCTAACCATATGAACACTAAAAGATGAATATGAATATAGAAGTTTAAATAATGCAGCAAACACAAGATTTAATAATTATCGATGTCATCGAAATCACTAAAACAATGAAAACTATGAAGTCTTACCTCATGTGAAGCTTCTGAAACATCGATTTCGTGTTCCATTCGTCAAAAACAATTTTTCTTAATCAACATGTTTGATAGTTGAGAAGATAAATAATACGTTAAAAGTGATTTGGGGTGTATTTATAAATCTTTATTTTTTTTTTAAACCTAATAAGGTCAAAATTGTCATTGCATAGTAGAGTAAATAAGTCATTTAATATTAAATTTTAATGTGGGGTGCATTCAACATTTTGTGGGGTGTTAATATAAAAACCCTTCTTTAATTCGGTCTAAATTAGGTATGTATATTGCCTTGCTCGAATTATCATTGTGTGGTTTCATGTCTAATTATGCCAAATTTTTTTGTAATAAAACTCTCATACATGTCATACAGGCAGTAAAATGCAAGTTGAAAGATTATACGATGATATTACTAGTGGGCTAATAATTCGTCCGTCTTATATGAATATATGAAATTTTTACATGCAAGCTCTGGATAAGTTTACACTTAAAGGGAAACAACAAACAAAAAATCTTCCAAAACCAAATATTTAAAAAAACTCCCTTTTTATTTTGCAATCGAATGAAGAAGGTCGCCATAGTTAAGAATGAGTCTAAACATAAAATAGATAGTTGAGGGTTTTACTATTATTTTTGTTATTTTTATAATTGAACTCTTAAATGTTTTTATTTTTTTATATTAAGAGTGATCAATTGGTGGTTTCGTTTCAGGAGTCCACCTTTTTGTGATCAGGAAGACTTATATAGGCATTTCAACATCCTCTTATCACCATCGTGTGATTTACCAATACCAGAAATCGAACTTAGAACTCATCATGTGAAATACGAGATTCAAATTCGTTCTCAACCCCTGGATCACCAATGAAAGTTAAATGTTTCTATTTATTTATAGAACTTATAATTGTGAGAGGATTTTATATAATTTACTAATATAAGAGCAATTCCACCCCTGTGGACTTTGCGCCAGCACCCAGCGCATTTATCCACTTAAATGAACAGTAATAGACTGGAGTGAACAGTAATAGGCCAAGGCATCTCCACCCCTAAAAAAATGCGCTGGCACCCTGCGCATTTATTTGGTGTGTATTTTTTTTAAGTTTATTTCGGATAAGATTTTTAACCCATTTAAAATAAAGAATAAAAAAATAAAATAGTTTTAATTTCGGATAGGATTTTTAACCAATCCCGACACGCCACGTGTCACTTCCATGGTACAATAATTTAGCCAAGATTTCGATAAGATTTTCAACCAATCACGTCATGCCACGTGTCATTATCCGAACGTACTATTTTGTGGATAGATTTTCGATAATATCTCGACCAATCCTGACACGCCACGTGTCACTTCCGGTTTACAATAATTTAGCCAAGGTTTCGATAAGATTTTCAACCAATCACATAGTGCCACGTGGCATTGTCCAGAACCTCATCCTTTCTTTTTTTGTCCATATAAACCCTACATCCCTACATCCATCCTCACACCAAGCTCAATCCTTCTTTTTAGCTCAGAATCCTTGTTCATCATTTTCAAATCTTGAGTTCTTATTACAATGTCTTCTTCAAGAAGGGTGTATAAGCAGTTGCAAGAGCAACAACAAAGGTTGTTGGCACAACAGGCAGAATTGGCCAATCTCGAGGAAGGTGGAGGTGGAGATGAGGCTTTCTTCATGGAGGAGGATGAGGATGATCACCATAGAAGGCAGAAGGCCTCACATTCCCGCCGTGTCATGGAAGCCGTGGGTCAGATAGCCAAACCAAGACGTGTTGCAAACCTCGATAGAAAAAGGGAAAAACGAGGTAAAAATCTATTGGAAGATTATTTATTCCCAATAGCATATTCCCTGATCATGTTTTTAGACGGCGTTTTAGAATGCAACGACATTTGTTCAACAAAATCATGAGTGATATTTGCAACCATGATTCATACTTTGTGCAAAAAGAGGATGCTTTTCATGTTCTAGGTCTTATTCCCGAGCAAAAAATTACGGCATCC